CAACCCTTATTTGGGATCAGGGACATTCCTGGAAATCATGCCCCTGGCTAACAAAGGGGAGAGGAAAGCCATCAGCATCTCCCCCAAATACATTCAAACACTCAGATGACAGACTCCATTATAATTATTAACAAACACTGGCAAATTTGCATTCATTGCTATCTTTTCTTTGAACCTCAAAAGCATTGTCTCCTCTGCAGCTAATCCTTTCCCCAGATCTTCATCCCATTCCCTCTCATCTCCTTCAGAACCTGGCTTCATCACTGAATTTCTCCCTTCTGTTAACTCTTCTCTCGCCCAGGCTTCTTCATCAATTTATAAACACATTGGAACATCTCACTTATAATAGCCCTGTCTTTCTCACCTTGCGTAACTTTCTAGTTATCCTTTCTTTCCTTCTTTTCTGTTCAGGATTATCAGAAGAGCTATTTAAACTCATTCTTTTTTTTCTGATTTTTCATTGTGGTAAAATACATATAACATAAAATATAACCTTTTAACCATTTTTAAAAAAATTTATTAAAGTGTAGTTGAATTACAATGTTGTGATAGTTTCAGGTGTATAGCAAAGTGATTCAGTTATTATATATATATGTATATATGTATGTATATGTATATATATTATATTCTTTTTCAGATCCTTTTCCATTATAAGTTACTACAAGATACTGAATATAGCTCCCTGTGCTATTATACAGTAGGTCCTTGTTGTTCATATGTTCTATACACAGAAGTGTGTATCTGTTAATCCCAAACTCCTAATTTATCCCACCCTTCCCCTTTGGTAACCTTAAATTTGTTTTCAATGTCTGTGAGTCTATTTGTTTTGTAAGTAAGTGCATTTCTATCATTTTTTACATTCCACATGTAAGTGATATCACACATTTGTCTTTGTCTGACTTGCTTCACTAAGTATGATCTTCTCTAGGACCATCTATGTTGCTGCAAATGGCATTATTTCCTTCTTTTTTATTGTAAATAGTGCTGCAATGAGCACTGGGCTGCATGTATCTTTTCAAGTTAGAATTTTCATCTTTTCTGGTTATATGCCCAGGAGTGGGACTGCTGGGTCATATGGTAAGTCTATTTTTAAAACTCACTCTTTTATATTCACTTTTCACTCACTCTCAAACTTGTGCAATCTGCTTGTTCACTGAAAGAACTTTGCCTGAGGCCCCAGTGGCTATTTGTGACACAGATATCTAAGGGCCACTTACTGGCCTTTCTCTTATCTTGAATTAGGCCCTGGTGACCCTTCCTTCTTTCTTAACATTCTCTCTTCCTTGGACTTCTACTGTAACAGTTTCTCCTGATCTCCTCAAAACCCCTGAACTTACTTTGAATGTGAAACCTGATTCCATCACCTTCTCTGCATAGCCCTGGGGTAAGTTACATGAACTCAGGTGTTAGCTGTGTTGAACTCATCAGCCTGTGACCTGTTCAGCTATGTTGGTCGGTGTCCCAGCAGGCAACAGCAGCCACAGTAAAGAGTCTAGTCAAGGAAATATTACAAGGGATGTTGAAGCATCAGGAAGCCATCACCAGAGCCAGGAAAGAGCTGGAAACTTAAAAGGGCCACAGTCAACAACTTCAGAGATGGAAGAATTCAGTCACTACCAAAAACACAGTGAAGCTAGGCTGGGAAGAGATAAGCACCCTGACCACTTCCCACGCTACTCTCCTCTAATCTTCTTCTGGTGCCTCTCATTGGTCAGACCTAACCGGAAACCCAGAGCACAATGGGGACTGGGTGACGTAAACTCTAGAAGTCAACCTCCTAAGATGTACAGGAGGGAAGAGTAGAGAATAAACCCGAATGGAGGACCAGCAAAAACCAGCCAGCAGACAGGCACACTACCTACCATCTCCTTCACTCACTGAAAAAGTATTTTGGGTGCCAGGGACTATTCTAGGAACACGGGATCACATGACAGAAAAGGTGCCCGTTTTTATGGTGTTTTCATTCTCCCTGGGGAGACAGATTGTAAAGCAGTAACCACACAAGACAACTTCCAATGGTAGGTGCAGTGAAGAAAAGGGGCACCCCGACTCTAACACAGATGAGGAGGTGGCAGGAGAGCTTAAAACAAGTAAGAAGAAGGGATAATAAGAAGCTTTCTAAGAGGCAAGGGAACAGTATTCAACACAGGAGATCAGCAAAGGCCAGAGCGCAAACATCCGGAGGTGGAAACCAGTCTGGCTTATGCAAGGGGTGGACAGGAGGCCAGTGTGGCTGGAGGGAGGGTAGTAAGAGATGAGGCAGGGATGGTAGCAAAGGCTAGGTCATAAAGGGCTTTGCAGGCCAGGCAAGGAGTTGGATGATTTTGCTAAAGCAACAGAAAGGTTTCAGGTGGGGGCTGGGAGGTTGGAGCTTTCTGTAGGTTAAGACACATCTAATTTCCATTTGTAAAATAAAACTTTCACAAGTCTTTGAAAAATAAACTGTAGTGGGACAAGAATGGAAACGTCCTGTTACAGTCTGCATTGCCCTGACCAGAGCGCCCATGTTCAGGAGTGGCATTCTGCAAAGTGGTGGCACTGTTCAGATCAGGATGGAAATCTGAGACAGGAGCGGCCCCACCACAGGCTGGTTGGCAGCCCATGACGTGGGTTAGAGCTGGGGGCTCTGGCAACTGAACGTGTTCCTCTGAAATGTGGATCATAGGATAAGAACAGGGTTAATTAGCAGTTGGTAGTGTGAGAACAGATCAAAGAGGTGGAGAAAAACAGAGATACAATGGGAACAGCTTCTCTTTAGAGGTGCCCTGGTTCCTAATAGCTACTCACATATCTATATAAGTACTCCTGCTTCCAAGCCTTTTTAATTAAGGTGGCTTCTGGGTCCCTCTTGAATGCAAAAGAGTCTAATGAGCACACTGGTGTCCCCAAGGTTTCAAGCCTCTTCTCTTCTCATTCACAACTGTAAGAAGTGCCAAAGATTTGCCCTGAAAACAAAAGAAAATGAAACCCCCCTCAAATCTCTGCTTAAAACAACCAAAGCTTTACTTCTCACATACTTCAAATGCCTACGATGAGGTGGATGGGTCACTACTGTGCACCATCCTTTCAAGACCAAGATTAATGGAGCATACGCTGTGGAACATTGCTGATTGTCACGGCAAAGAGAAAGAGTTCTGGAAGGTCTTGCATCAATAATTAAAGGCTGTGCTCAGAATTCATGGGCAGAACGTGTCATGCGGCTCATCCGAACTACAAGGAGGCCAGGAGATGCCATCTTACCACTTACCTGTAAGAGAACAGGAAATGTTTCGCACACCCATTCACTCATCCATAACCATGGCTTTAACTGGTGCCTATACACCAATGTCAAAATTTCTAGGAGAGGTGCTCCATTTTCACTCTTTAATCCATATTTTCAACCACCACAACTGGGTTCTATCATAGACATTCAAGTCTCATGCACCAAGCTTCATCCTTCTCACAAACTTTCTGTATTCTTTCTCTGGGTCAGTGGCTCCACTATCTGAACTAGGAAACCCAGATATTCTTTGACTCTCTCTCTCTCTTCTAACACGCAATCAGTTGCCAGATCTATAGACTTCTAATTTATTTCCATCTTGATAACTCCATGACCATTACCCTACTTTAGTTCCTCATGGATTCTTGCCCAGACAGCTGTTAGCCTCCTGTCTGGTCTTCCTCCCATCATACCTTCCCCTATAAACTGCAATTCATTCAATTCAACAAACATTTACAAAGTGCTTACTGCTTCCTAGATTAAATAAGTAATGGGCCCACCTTGAAGAAACTCAGTCTAAAAAGGGAAACAGCGATGAGACAAAACATTTCAACATAATGGACAAACGTGTTAAGAGCTATGCAGAAAGTGGAGTGGGAATGGAAAGGAAACACCAAGTTGAGTGTGGTGGTAATGGGAAAATAGTGTTCGGAGCTTCTAGAGAGGAAGTAAAACTTCAGCTATCTAAGGGAGCTACCCCTCCATGTGAACAACAGGAGCTAAAAACGTAGGTGAAGGTAGCAGCATCTGCCTGACACGTTTGAAAGACTTCACTTGGCTCAGCCAAACCAACATGGGTTGGGAGGAATGGCATGAAAGAGAAAGCAGGCAATCAGTAAGGACTCAAAGCATCCTTGGTCGGTTAGTTGGCTGGTAAGTGGGTAGAAGGTCATCTGCTGAGGTAAGAAACTAAAAAGAAGAGCAAGTCTATGGGGAACAATACTTTTAAATCATGGATATCTTCACATAGCTGAATACTGATTCTAGGCATAGTGCCAAGCATCTTACTTTATATTTTATTTAACCATCACAGCAGTTTTATGAGGGAGGTAAAGTTGTCTATTATCTTCGTTTCCCAATTTAAAAGCAAACACTGAGATTCAAGGATTAATGACTCGACCAGTTACAGTTACTAATTTTGTTTTGCACCAAGCTGCTATCTTTGTACCAAGCTATGCTGAGCTTGAGGTGCCTACAGGCATTCCACCCAGATGTGTCCACAGGCTGGATGGAGTGCAAGGGAGGGACAGGCAAAGAGACACAGGCCTGGGGTCTACCAGCATAGGGAACACGGTCGGATCAGAGATACGGGCTTGGATGAGAGGGCTCCGCGAGCTCTAAGCACGGAGAAAGAATGAGGGGCTGGGGAACATTAATCTTAGAGGGGCCAAAAGAAGGAAAGAAACAAGCGAGAGTTTGAGGCGCCATCCGATAGTGCGAGTCCTTAAGGATGTCCTTCCGTGAAGCTTTTTGCCAAGTCCCTAGTCCAAGTGCGTGGAGTTCAGTAAAGGGCCTCCGGGGTCAGAAGGGGCATTCTGTCAAGGTTGGGCCTTTGTATCTAATTCCTTCAGTTCCTTAAGGACCAAAGGATGGATGACCCGAAACTCGCACGGAGACGTGACTACCTGAGGAGGTAAACAATTAGCTAAACCTCCTTAAAGCGGATGGAGGACTCGTCTCCCTCCAGCGTCGCCAAAGGCGCTGTGGTTGTGAACGAGCAGAGGTTACCACAGAAACGACGATGCGCGCTGGGCAAGGATGCAGACAGCTGGCGGACGGGGACCCGGTCCGAGGGGAAGAGCGAGCGCCCCGAGCCGCGGGCACGCGCGCCGGCGAGGAAGGCCGGGAGCGCCGCGGGCTCACCCAGCGCTCTTCCCCTCCGCAGCCGCCTCCTTCTCCTCCGGTGCCCGCGTACCCTCTGCCCTTTCTGCCCGTCCCGCCGCAAGGCTCAGCGCCCCTCGCCATTCAGACGCGGCCGCGGCCCAGCTCCCGTCACCCGCTCAGCCCCGCCCGGCTGTGCGTCACGCGGAGCGGGGTCAGTATGTAGCGCGGCCAGGCCCCGCCCCCGCACCCAAGCCCCGCCCCGCGCCCAAGGCCCCGCCCCTCCAGCCCCAAAGGGGCGGGCTCGCCGGCGTGGGCTGTGGGCTGTGGGCTGTGGGGTCCGGACTTTCCCCACTCTCCGGGGGTTCGTCCCGCCGCCGCCGAGGCCCTGCCTTTTCCGAGGCCCTCTCCTGCCACCTGAGCGGACGCGGGGAGTCGAAGCCGGGCGTGCGGGGCGCCATGCAGGGCCGC